AAATTTAATATAATCAGCAAATAATATGATATTTCTAAATGTTTCATAATTTCTGGAAAGTGTTTTTTGTCCAAATTTTTCAGGAAAACACTTTCTTGAAATCCAAGCTAAATTTTTCTTTAACTGAAAAGTGTTTTTCATTGGCCAACTTTTCTAGTGACAAACAAATACACAGGAAAGTTTGAAAAGTTATTTTTTAAAAAGTAAATTCTGGAAAATAAACATAGCCTATGTTTTAAATTATTTTTATTTAAAAATAAATTAAAATAATATTTTTTAAAATTTATTTTTAATATTAATTCATTAAAATAATTTAAAATAATTAATTTAAAATAAAAAAATATTAAATTTAAAATGAAAAACTGTTTTAACCCCACTCACAAATGACTGATACTTTTGGTTTTTAAACTTCAAAGATTTTTTTTTTTCAGAAACTGTACTGGAAGGAAAGATTTTTATTATAAATATTAGATAAAGTAAAAACATAATGTGTTAAAGATAAAACTAGTCAATTAAACTGTCATTCTGGATAAAACATTAAACGTAAAGTAAATAAATATATTTATTGTCAATATGTTTTTAATTTAAAAAATAACTAAAAATTTAATGGAATGTTTAATAAAATAAATTGAGGATTAAAAATCAATAAATATTAAAACAATTATTAACAATAATTAAAAATAAAATTAGAAAGTTGAAATATAATAGCAGGTTAAAATATTTTATCTTGTATTATATATCCTTAAAATTTCATTTTTTATTAAATAACAATAAATGTTTTTTAATAAGATTAATTATTAAAATTCTATTTAAACAAAATGTTTTACAAGTATAATTTTTTTTCTTTCCTTATTTTCCTCTTTAATGAATAAATATAGCTAATGCAAAATATAAAAATAAAAATCTTGGTATTATTTTGCTAATCTAGAGATCTTCTAACACAAGCCTTTGTTTAACTTAAGCTTTAAATTAAATAAAATAGTAACTGATTTAATATATTTTAATTTGATTTTTTTCTTTAAAATGACATCATTTTATCTTCTTTGTGTGTATATATATATATATATTAAAATGATAATATTTTGAATTGAGTCTCATCAATTCTAATTAAATTATTAAACTTATTAGTTTAAATTAAAACCTTACACTGGGTATGTTTAAAAACTTACTTTTTGAAATTTTTATTTTATTTTTTATTTAACTATATAATAATAAAAATTGGCATATGTAATGAAGTGACCAAAAAAAAATTTTTAAACACGCAAAAAACAAAGAACTATTCGCTTTTTGGGTGGGCCTTTTGTACTTAAATTCAAACGGGGAAAGGATAATTATTCAGCGCACTCAAATCTAATGGATCTGGTTCCCTATTCATAAAAAGCCAGGTTTGAAATGTTAGGGTCAAGAATTCTTACTAATAATAAGAAAGGGTTAAGTAAGGGCCTCCAACGCCTATAAATAGAAGCTTATCTCTTTATTTGGCAAAGAGAGATGTATTTGATTAGTACTGAAAAATACATTTTTATCATATATGCAATAAAGTGACCAAAATGAATTTTTTAAACACGCGAAAAACAAAGGACTATTCGCTCTTTGGGGTGGGCCTTTCGTACTCAAATCCGAACGGGGAAAGGACAATTATTCAGCGCACTCAAATCTAGTGGATCTGGTTCACTATTCATGAAAAGCCAGGGTTGAAATGTTAGGGTCAAGAATTCTTACTAATAATAAGAAAGGGTTAAGTAAGGGCCTCCAACGCCTATAAATAGAAGCTTCTTTCTCTATTTGGCAAAGAGAGACGTAGAAGTCAGAAAGAAAGACTTTCAGTAACACTTATTCCAACAACACTCTTATGGATATCGCTGGAAGACTTGCAACAATTCAGCAAGAAATAGGTCAGGTGGAAAACGAGAAACTCCAACGAGAGCAAATGCTTGGTCTCTTCTGGGAACACATGCCGGCGATCGATCCAAGTCTCATACGAGGATCGTATGCTGGCTATACAGAATAAAATCCAAGCCCTCGAAAACCGAAAGAGGGCCCTCCTTCTCGAACAGCAGGAGCTTCTTGTTCAGGCTGCCACACGTGATCCCCCGAAAGATTAAAAGAAATGAGCATTAGCTCTTTCTAAATAAAATAAGGAGTAAGATCTCAAATTTAGGTTTACTTTATATGGATGGAAAAGGAAGACATACGCCTGCAACTTTTATATGGAGTCCAAGATTTATAAATGTTATTTTCAAGTCCAAATTGTAGCAACAACAAAGAAGTTTAAATCTGTCCTACAGTCCGAATACTATTCAGTGTTTGGCCCATATCTGGAGTTCTAGAAGTTCAAATGACCTCTATTTTTTTTCTTGAAAAGCTGAGACAATTTCCTACAACTTTCATGTTTTCAAGTGGTTTCAATTCTGACATTATCAATAATGTTTTATGCAGAAAATAGAAGATAAAAATTATCACCATGTCAAGAGTTGGCCATCCACTCATTAATTAGTTATCAAATCAATAGTTCTCAATTTTGGCCTATAAAATGAGGCATTTGCCATGCATTTAGGCATCTTGGTCTTCAAATCAAGATCATGCTTTTGTTTTCTCTCTTTGTATTTTTTGTAATGCTTAAGTTTTATTTTCATTACTATCTTATTTATGCCTTTCATTTCGTTTTCTTTACTTAGTTAACTTTTATCTTATTTATTTTTTTATTTTGTTTATTTATTTTTCTTTCTTTCATTATGTTTAGTTAAGTCTATTATGTCAAGGTGAAAAGGTTATTATGACATACTATTAGTGGTTCCTCTAACCTTGACATTTGTTATTATCATTGTATAATTCTTATATTGATCTTTCATCTCAAAGTTCTAATCAACATCTTCCTTTTCTTCTACTACTACTACTACTACTACTACTACTACTATTATTATTATTATTATTATTATTCTTGTTGTTGTTGTTGTATTGTTGTTATTTATAATTTATACAATTAACCTCCTTGTGGTTCTACCTCAGTCTTGTCGGGTTATTTATTACTTTGACACTCCTGTATTTGGGAGAAGACATCAATCTTTTGATTGTGTCAAGTTGTTAACGCCGTTGCTGGGGGGGTAAATTATTTTATTATAAATTATATTATTTGTTTTATTTTTTTCTTTTCACTTTTCTTGTATATAACTTTGTTTCTTTTATTTTGTTTTTCCTTCTTTTGTTTTGTTTTTTCTTTTATTCTACTTTTACACATGTATGAGAGTGTGGTCACGTACATTAAGTGGTAGACTTTGTAGGGTATCCTCATCATTTTCAGAAAATATGGCCGAAGAAGATAATCAATCACTTCAAAATGAGAATAATGAGAATAACCGTGCTAGAACACTTAGAGACCACATGAATCCCACAAGAACAAGTGCACCATCATGCATAATTTTTCCTCTCGATGCATCTCATTTTAATTTTAACTCATTTTAATTTTAAACCAGGTATTATTCAACTTTTACCTTCTTTTCATGGTTTAGAATTGGAAAATCCATACTTGCATTTAAGGGAATTTGAGGAGGTGTGCAACACATATAATAACTTATATTGTAGCATGAACACCATCAGATTAAAGCTTTTTTTTCTTTTTCATTAAAAGATAAAGCTAAAACATGGCTACAAAATTTAAGACCAGGATCCATTCGTGCTTGGGATGAAATACAACAACAATTTTTAAAAATGTTTTTTTCATCTCATAGAACAAACTCCTTCAAAATATATCATTACTTTCACTCAAAAATCAGGAGAAATATTTTACCAATGTTGGGATAGGTATCAAGACTTGCTTAATACTTGCCCTTATCATGGTTTTGAAACATGGAGATTGGTTTCATATTTTTACGAAAGCTTAACACCTTAAGATAGAGAAATGGTTGAATTGATGTGCAATAGAACCTTTGAAGATAAAGACCCTAATGAAGCAATGGAGTATCTAGACTTGCTTGCTGAAAATGCTCAAAATTGAGACACTATAGGCACGTATGAGACTCCAAGTAAAATCCAACCTCATACATCTACTAGAGATATGTACAACCTTAGAGAAGATCATGACCTTCAAGGCTAATTTGCATCTTTACTAGAAAAGTCGAGGCACTAGAATTGAAAAAGAGTGGTCAATTAAAATATGTTCAAAACATTGTGTGTCAAAGCTGTGAAACCAATGAGCATTCAGCCAACTTTGCCTTCTTTTAAGAAATGTCTCCATGAACAAGCCCAATCCAAACTGGAACACTGTTCGGTAATTGGGTCATATCTAGAGCTATATATCTCAGATTTAGGTCCAATTTATATGGATGGAAAGGTAAGACATAGGCCTACAACTTTCATATGGAGCCCAAGATCTAAAAAGGCCATTATCAAGTCCAAATTGTAGCAACAACAAAGAAGCCCGAATCTGTCTTCCAGCCCGAGCACTGTTCGGTATTTTGGCCATATCTGGAGTTCTAGAAGTCCA